GGTCTAGCCAATAACATAGAAAGAAATTAATTGGCCAACTAAAATATATATAGAAAAAATTACCAGGCATGGTGGCGCGATGCTGTAGTCCCAGCTACTTGGGAGGCTGAGGCAGCAGGATGCTTGAGCCAGGAGTTTGAGGTTGCTGTGAGCTAGGCTGATGCCATGGCACTCTAGCCGGGCAACAGAGCAGACTCGTCTCAAAAAGAAAGAGAGAGAAAGAGAGAGATGAGAGAGAGAGAGAGGATGATGAGAGAGAGAGGAGAGAGACGCAAGAAAAGAAAAGAAGAAGAAGGAATGGGGCAGAGGAAGTAAGGGAAGGGACGGAAGGGAAGGGAAGGGAAGGGGAAGAAGGGAAGGATAGGGAAGGGAAGGGACACGGGTAAGGGTAGGAAGGGAGGAATGGGAAGGGAAGCGAAGGAGAGGGAGGAAGGGCATGGGACAGGGACAGGGACAGGGAAGTGGCATGGGAAGGGAGAGGGAAAGAGGAAAAGAAAAGGGAAAGGGAAAGGAAAGGAAAGGAAAGGAAAGGAAAGGAAAGAAATAAATTTCCACCAAATTTTGGTGATTGCAGCAAAGCAGTGCTTTATTATACGGGGAAAATTTTCTAAAAGCACTATGGCTTTCTGCTGTGCTTTTCCTTGGATCTCTTACTCTAGTGCAGCCAGCGCACCATGTCATGGAGGACACTCAAGGAGTCTCTCGAAGAGATAACACACTGCAGAATGCGAGGCACCCCCAGCTAAAGCAGGCACACTCGGGTGCTCATCATGGGGGCTAATTCAGCTTGGAGTGACGCATCTGGCCCCAAGTCAAACTTCAGATGATCGGCAGCCTGAGAAACCCAAAGCCAGAGCCACCCATACAATACATTTGCTCGCTGAATTTCTGACTTGCAGACAAACGTGGTGAGATATTCAATGTTTACTATTGTGTTACAAGCCGAGCTAAGATTTGGGAGGTAAAATTTGTTACACACGGTCAGATAAATAACTCATCAACATTGTTGTTTCGCTAGCAAATTTGAGGATCTGTCCAGGGGTTGCAAGCATCTTGAGACTTTTCATGGCTATATGCGGCATGCTGATGATTCTTTGAGACGGGGTCTCGCTCTTGCTCAGGCTAGTTTCGAACTCCTGACCTTGAGCAATCCGCCCGCCTCGGCCTCCCAGAGAGCTAGGATTACAGGCGCGAGCCACCGCGCCCGGCTAAAAGGAGAATTTTTGAGGAGGACGACACAATTCAAAAAAGTACACTTTTAATGATGGGGTTTTCTTTTTTTATATTTATATTTCTTTAAAAATTATATTTCTTTTCTTTTATTTTATTTTATTTACTTTTTTTGTTGTTATTAGAGTCTCACTCTGTCACCCTTGGGTAGAATGCAGTGGCATCAGCCTAGCTCACAGCAACCTCAAACTCCTGGGCTCAAACGATCCTCTTGCCTCAGCCTCCCGAGTAGCTGGGACTACAGGCATGCACCACCATGGGTATAACATCTATGTACAGGCTGTGAAGTCTCTCTGCTGGTTGGAAATCTGTGCCTTAGGGGTTTAGATATTTGAGATGTTTACGGTTTCTGTGCCAGGGTGTGAAGTGTCTAAGCTGTTCATGGATCTTTGTCTTCGGATGTACAGGGATTTTTTTTCCTCTTAAAATTGAATTCCAGGCTGGGCACGGTGGCTCATGCCTGTAATCCTAGCACTCTGGGAGGCCAAGGCGGGCGGATTGCTTGAGGTCAGGAGTTCGAAACCAGCCTGAGCAAGAGTGAGGTAATTGCCATTGCTGACAGAGGGCCAGTGTGGGCCTGAGACTGTCTCAGTTGGAATGTATAGTAATCTGCATATGTCGTTTAATATAAATGTATGTTGTGTTCAAGAAAGAGTAAACACTCCCAGAATGTGTCTCCATCTCTAGGAACCCACAGTTTTACTTCAGCTGTTTCTTTGAGACATACATAACATGAGGCAAGATACACAATGAAAAAAAACATTGTTCCCCTTCTGAAAATTATAGATCCTGGTTATAGAGCAACAGGTTTATACCATTAATGTGAGAACTAGTCTATAGTTCCCAGTATAAAGAGCTTTCTTATTTTTTGTGGGTATATATGTAAGAGGTAGGATATGAGCTCCAGAACAAGCTGTTGGAGAGAGTTAGGCCTCAGTGGCTTGAAGTCTCAAGAGAATAAAAAATTTGGACTAAATGAAAATGAAAATAGGCAGGTGTAGTGGCTCACACTGCTAATCTAAGCACTCTGGGTGGCTGAGGCAGGTGGTCACTCAGGGTCAGGAGTTTGAAACCAGCCTGAGCAAGAGCGAGCCCATGTCTACAATAAATAGAAGAAATTAATTGGCAACTAAATTATATAGAAAAAATTAGCAGGCATGTGGCGCATGCCTGTTAGTCCCAGCTACTTGGGAGGCTGAGGCAGCAGGATTGCTTGAGCCAGGAGTTTGAGGTTGCTGTGAGCTAGGCTGATTGCATGGCACTCTAGCCCGGGCAACAGAGCAAGACTCTGTCTCAAAAAAACAGAGAAAGAGAAGGAGAGAGCGAGAGAGAGAGAGAGGACGAGACGAGAGAAGAAGGGAAGAAGGGACAGGTAAGGGATAGGAGAAGGAAGGACATGAGAGGAAGGGAAGAAGGCAAG